ACGCAGCCGGGACAAGCCCTCGCAGACGCCCTGCGGCACGCTCTGTTCTTCTCCCAGCACTTCCTCCTCCCCTGGACCATGTGCTGGGCCCCCGGTGTCCATCCTCACCCTGGTCCCGCTCCTCTAAGGCCCCTGGTTTTTGGAGTGGAGAATGGACTCTGTCACACGGGAGCTGGCCCTCAGTGTCCACGTGGGCCAGCACAGACAGGGTGGCGTATAAAATCAGACCCCTGCCTGGCCGGGGTGACTCACTGGGCTGGGCGTCACCCCACAGAGTGAAAGGGTGCTGGTCCGATTCCCTGTCCGGGCACACGCCTGGGTTGCAGGCCAGGTCCCTGGTTGGGGGTGTGCAAGAGGCAACCAGTCAATGGTCCTCGCCCTCCTTTTCCCTCTAAAAATAAAAAAAATCTTTTTTAAAAATGTAGAGGCATTTCCCACGGTTCTGGAGGCTGGAAGTCCAAGATGAAGGTGCGAGCAGACTGCGTTCCTGGAGGGAACCTGCTTTCGAGCCGTGTCCTTACCCGGTGGGGGGGGCCGGGGTCTCGTTCCCTGATCCCATTCAGCAGAGCTGCCTGCACCACTGATGGCCTCCCAGAGCCCTCACCTCGGAAGCCCACCGGGCTGGGCGTCAGGGTTCAGCGCCTGAACTGGGGGGACATGGCAGTTGTCCTGGCTGAGTGGCTTCTGGGCGCAGCCCACACGAAGAGCCGGGCAGGGGTGGCTGGGCCCCAACGCGGGGCTGAGGTGCAGATGCTGCGTGTCTTCAGTGTGGCGGCCCGTGTGGGCTTGGACAGCAGCAGGGGGAGCTCGGGCACGTGTTCTGCGCGCTTGGGGCTTCGCCACGGAGGCTCGTCCTGGCCCTATGTGGGTCTTTGGGGCTGGTGCTGCCGTCTCGCTCACTGGCGCTGACGGTTTACCCGGGAACGTGGATTGTAGGGGGTGTTGTATTCTCAGAAAAAGCCGCCTGTATGTTAAGAGTTTCTGTAATTCTCCTAATGAAAACCAATTTCATGTGGGGGAAAAAAGGTAAAAAGGACAACTAAGGGGCAAAAAGGCTAACATTTAGAAAGTTAAAGATTTTAGCCCCAATTTTCTGCAGTGCGCCCAGCTTTAGAGCACAGATTGATCAAGTTAGCAAGGGAGCATCAACAATATGAAGAATACATATAGTGAGCTGATTTTTCAAAAAATAGTAGGGTCTCTGGGGGTCCATAGGTTGAGTTTTTCTGGAGACACTTTATTTTTCTTAAAGATCTTATTTTATTTTTAGACAGAGGGTAAAGGATGGAGAAAGACACAAACATCAGTGTGTGGTTGCCTCTCACACACCCCCTACTGGGGGCCTGGCCCGCAACCCAGGCCCGTGCCTGACTGGGAATTGAACTGGCTCAATTCACTGAGCCACAGCAGCCCGGTGGAGACAGTTTCGATGATGGAGCTGCCAGGTATCTAGATAATGGTATGTCCTCGGGGAGGGACTCGAAGATGTTTTCCAGACTTGATCTCGCACCAGGTCCGATGCTCTTTTTACTTTCTCTGTGGTCAGAGTTCGTGGGAACAGGGCGAGTGGACGAGAGCAGAGGCCTTGGCAGATGTGTGGTTTGTCTCACTGCAGTTTCTCGTACGGAAAAGTGGTCTCACTGTTTACCTCTGAAGTGGTACCGAAACCCAAACCATGTCAGAGAATGGTTTATTTTCACAGTGTTTCTCCTTTATCACTGGTAACACAAGTGCATTTGTTTAATTTGATCTACCTTTGATCTCACTTAAACAATATTGACTAGGCTCTTTTCCAAATACTCAGATTCTGCCTCTCCCCTCCCCTTTCCTCTCGCCACTTTAGGACTTCCAGAAAATGCTTTCGCTAAAATTAAGCATGGTGTTTCCTACGGGTGACTTGTTTTTCGCTGGTCGGTGGATTGTTTCACACGGCACCTCTCCGCGCTGGCCGGCATCGCCGCGTGGTGCCGTGGAGCTGCGTTCGGTCGAGCTCTTGTCCTTCTCGGGGCAGGGCCCACACTGAACAACTGGGAAAACGGAGAGGGGTGGTTTTTCTTCTCTCTGTGCAGGCAGTCAGTAATAGACCTCCCGAAATGCTTAAGTGTGTGAGAAGGTGGGACAGACTTCACACTAACACACTGCGGCCCCAGCAGAGCACAGCGGTTGGAGCGCCGTCCTGTGTGCCAACCGGCTGCGGCTGCGTCCCGGTTAGGGCGCCGGCCTGGGTTGCAGGATTTTTCCCCGATTGGGGCGTGCACGAGATTTTAGCCTCAATGTTTCTGAGCAATGTTTCTCTCTATCTCCCCGTCCCCAAGATGAATAAGCATATTTTGGGTGAAGATTAAAATTAAATTAAAGAAATACATTGCAGATAATAAGATAAAGGCTTCTGCCTTCCCTTGAAGCTGCGTGTAGAATACAACACATACAGTACAACTTTATTGTACTTTTTCCATTTCTGAGGTCTTCATACTCACAACTAAAATGTTGAGATATGTGCTTTTTGCTTGTGTTCCTTGTCCCATCTGCTGAATGCAACGAAAGCCGTGAACGACCCTGGAACACGGGGTGACCCGCTGGCCCTCCCAGCTGAGGCAGCAGCGCCAGAGCTGGGGCACGGGAGGCCGAGCCCGGACGGATGGACGGACGGACAGACAGACGTGGTGCACCTGTGTCAGTGCTGACAGCAGGTGTCTCCCCGCCTCCCTGCGAACAGCTGGGAAGCCCCCTCCCCCCGCCCTCTCCCCTGTCCCCGGAGGCCAGCTGTCCCACCTTTTCTCTGGGCGTTCCTGCCCCATTGACTGCCACGGGCTTCGTATTGCGGCTCCTTCCTTCAGCTGGTTGCTGCCGCTTCACGTTGACAGGTGCCTCCTCGTATCACAGGACACTGGGTTGGTTTTGTCTTTTCTGTTACAGCTTACGCATGACGGCAGAGCCTGTTAGTTTCAGGTGCGCAGCATAGAGACGCAGTGTTTACAAATGTCACGGAGCGACGGTTCCTCATTAAACTACCAGTTTCCGTCCTCCTGTCCTGTGATGAGGAGAACAAACCGACTGTTGCTAACTGCGTCATCCCCTGCACTCGGCCAGAGAAAGTGGTTCTTAGAGGCGCAGCTGGGGGAAAGCTCGACTTACATCTTGCCTCTCGGTGGCCGTCACTCATTCTCCTTCTCCCTGCTCGCTCACACGCTGTCGCCCCTCGTATGCCCGGGATCCATCCTCAAAGGCTCCCTCACCCCCAAACCAAGGTTCCGCTCCGTCTCCTAATCACCTGAAATCCAGCCCCTCCTTTTTGTCGTCATTGCCGTAGCAGACCAACCTCGAGCTATCGCAGAACTTTCCCGTGATACAAGAAGTGTGCTGAGAACATTTCAGGGTACCAGGCAGAGACAGTCAGCGAACCCAGATTAAGTAGGTTTCGGGCGTCCCTGTTTTATAAAATGAAGTCTGATGTGCATCCCCAGTGGAAGGCCATTGACCCAGAAGAGGCTCGATTTCGATTAGAGAAGCAAGACCCCGACAAGTGGCAGTGAGGGAGGGACACTGCACTGTCACCGTCTGATACAGGCACAGAGCAGCCAGGACACGGGAAGCGGAGGGGCTGTCTGTCATGTGGACCAGCCCGGACACACGCAGGGCGCCATGGTCAGTTCCCGGTCACGCTGCCCAGCGAGCTGCATGTGAAGTGCGTCCTGTGAGTTACAGAATGGGTAGATAACATGAGTGTTTTTAAAATTATGTATACACATGCCCACAGAAAGACCATTTGGCTTGGAGTATATACCAAATTATTAAACACTTGTAATTTCTGGCTGGTAGAATTTACAGGGGAATTTATATGGGTAATGATATATTGCCAAAGCCTTTAGGGTTTTTTTTGTTTTATTGTAAGCATGTGTTGTACTTAAATAAGTAAAGGAAGTATTTTAAAACTATTATTAGCCCTGGCTGGTGTAGCTCAGTGGATTGAGCTCTGGCCTGAGAACCAAAGAGTTGCGGTTCGATTCCCAGTCAGGGCACATGCCTGGGTTGCAGGCCAGGTCCCCAGTAGGGGACATACAAGAGGCAACCACACATTGATGTTTCTCTCCCTCTCTTCCTCTCTCCTCCTCTGTCTAAAATGAATAAAATCTTTTTAAGAAACTATTAAAATCAAGTGTAAGCATAGGGGATACAGGCAGTAATATTGTAGTGACTTGGTTCCGCGCCAGGCGGGCACTTGAACTGTCTGGGGAAGCAGTTTTTTCAAACACACATGCTTGTGTAGCCACCGCACCGTCCTCCCGAGGCTAACACAAAACACTGCTGACTGCAAACTGCAGTTGAAAAAATACAGGAGAAGTTCACAGTCCCCAGGAACAGCAGCTGCCAGCACCTGAGGAAGCAGCCCCAGTGCCCGTGCTTCCGAGGGCAGGGGCTGGGGACCTGTCACTGTGTCCGTCTGCCCGAGACCAGGACGCGGCCCCGAGAAGCCCTGGGTGACGGGCCCTGGTGGAACCCACGCACAGGTGGCCCACGGGTCCGCTCGCCAGTGGTGGTGGGACGGGCTTCGTGGGCAACTGGTGTCCTCCGCGGCCCCCGTCCTGGGCTCTTCGGGTGGGTGTTGGAACAGCGTGTCAGGGTGCACCTCCTGGGTGTCCGTGTCCAGGAGAACAGAGGTGCCCCAGATACAGAGCCCGGCACAGAGTGCGCCCTCTTTTACTGCAAAGTCACGAGCCTGTCGCTCTGTAACGTAGCAGCATCACACTCACGCACACCATACGCTGGTTTAGGTGAACTGTTCAGACCAAACCTGTAAGTTATTACACCCTTATTATTACCCTGCCAACACCACTCAAGCAGGCCTTCCTGCTGCCGGACTCTGTGTACATATACACACGCTTACATGTTTGCTTCTAATGATGTCACATTTCAGAAAAACGTATGAAAATTTGTTTCTGTGGGGGAAATTGTTTTGTGTTTCTGACTGTTTTCCGTTCCTTCTCTCTCGAAACCTCTAGCCGACGAGGACGTTAGTCATGACGAGCCTGCCGTCTGAGTGAGTACCCTCGTTTGGACCGTGTCCCTCTCGCCGCGCCCTTTCGCCCCATGTGCCCCGCACCACAACGCCGCGCCGTGTCGCCATTACTGCAGGCAATGGGCGTTCGAGTTGGACGGTCGCTGGACGTTAAAATCGTGCTTAAGAGGCCGTGACCAGTGCAGCGCAGAAGCCTTGTTGAGCCACGTCAGAGGTGGCGTAGGTCCGCGGTCCCACTCGCGGGCCGGCCTGCTGGCTCCGTGTGCCCACCCGCACCCCGAGCGCGCTCCGGTACCAGCGCTCTGAAGCGTCCCCCGCAGCGCATGCGGACGGCCCCCCGCGTCTCCTGCAGGTGTGCACAGCTGGCTGGCAGCCCACGCGCGCGGCACCGCGTTCTCCGGGGCAGGTGCCGAATCCCTGGTCACGGGAAAACCGTGTGTCTTCACAGTGGTCGCGGGAGTTTAGTCACGCCGGGGCATTTCACTGAGAAGCTGCAGAAAGGGCGCGCATCCCACCGTGTTCAGGGGCGGACCCTGCCCATGCTGGCAGGGGCGGCGCCCCCGGCTGCACTCGCGTCACTGGAGGTAGTGCGCCGCACGTCCTCAGGAGCGCGACACGGAAACCAACACCGGACGTGCGATGCTCCGTGTGGAAGCCTGGCCACAGAGTTGAGACACTCACTACAGAGCTGTTCTCCTCGGAGGGTCTGACAACCACACTTCCACGTGGGCCTGGCAGTCTCTCTGTCCTGACCCTGGGCGCACTTCCTGTCTGACGCTGAGAGAGACCCAGACGTCCTGTCGTGTGTTCCTTGGGGGCTCGGGCCCAGCGGCTCTGCCTGCATGTCTAGTGCAGGTTTGCGGGCAGGCGTTGCACCAGCCGGCCTCCCACGCACGCAGGCGGCTCCGAGGGGTGTCACTCCTCGGACCCGTGCATGGCTCGTACCTCTGCCTCCAGGGAGCACCTGGCCAGGCAGGAGCTGGGCCCCAGCCCCTTCCCCTCTGGGGACCCTGCGGCACCCGAGAGCTGCTGTGGCCACGCAGGAGCACGTGTCACAGGGCCTTTGGGGAGCTCTTAGATCAGCCGGCACACCCTGTCCAGGACAGAGCCCTCCGGTAGTCCCGAGACTCTCAGGATCCAGGGTGTAACTATCCTGTGGCTGTGGCTGTTGCTCTGCAGGACCCCTTTGGCAAGCGCCCCGCTGCTGGTCACTGACAGCAGCTGAGATGCCCATGTCCTGGCAGGCTTGTTCTTCAAACCCACCGGGTTTTTGTTCTGTCTTTACATAAACACATGGTTTTAAATCCTCTTGAACCAACACCCAGCATGTTAGATGCTGTATCCATGAGCCGCACTTTGAAAAGAACACTTGGGAGCACATCCAGCCTGGCTGCTGCCAGGCCTTGAGCCGGGGGAAGTCACAGGTGCACAGAAATGGGGACTCTGCAGGGCTGTGGGTTCTCGCTGCTTTTTGCTCTGCTCTGCTCTGCTTTACTTTGCTTCGCTTCGCTTCGCTTCGTTTCTTGGCCCCACCCAACTTAATACTTTCCACCACCCCAGGAGGTGCAGATCTCTGGTCTAAGTGATGATGGGACCCGAGGCTTGACTGTTTATCTTCTGTACCCATGATGTCTAAGAATTTGGGACTGTGGCATAGTTTGCCCCTGCCACCGACGGGAAGAAACAGGTCTTGGAACCATCACTCCCAAGGTCCCGGGAGAGAGACTCCAGGGGGCCGCTGCGGGGTCGGGGGTGAGCGCCCAGCTCTCAGAGCGTGGACCCAGCGGCCCCGTCCCCTCTCCGGGTAGTTTTCAGAGAGGGGAGAACTTACTTCTCGTGTGTGTGTCCCGGCATGGCCGGGGAAGCCCCGCGTGTCTTTGTATCTCCTCGGGGGTTTCCAGAACTCGCCAGGAGAGGGGGGCGGGCCGGGTGTCAGAATGGAAGGTGTTTTTAAAAAGGCAGACAGGAAGAATGGAGAGTCGTTTGGGAAGGAAGTTACATTGGGAGATTTTTTTTAAAGGTACTCACGGCCGCGGTGTAGTAACACAGCAGACAGCACATGTGATGAGCTCTGGGGAAGTGGGAGCCTCGGTCACGTTTGCCCTAAGAGTGGATGTGGCAGCTGAATGACAAGGACCTCCCCCCCCAGTCGAAAAACCGTGTGTTTCACTCTCAGTAGACGTTGTATTTTCCCAGTGCAATGCGCCACTGAGAGCTTGGTTCTGACCAGGCACAAACTGTCCCTGCAGGTCTGAGGAGACCACAGCCGCTGTGGTGGGGGGCTTCTGGGGCTGGGGCCTGGGCGGCTGTGCCCAGCGGGTGCCTCCCCATCTGCCTTCTCGGCCGTGAGAACAGGCCCTTGGAGTTGAGATCTGAGGTTGTTTGACTCCCCCACGTTTTAGGTTATGGATCGTAAAGAAATTAAGACAGGATCACCGTAGCCGAAACCAATGAAGAATTTCAGTGGTTCAGATTTTTTAAAAACTGTGTGTGATCGCATCGATGCCCCTCAGCAGGAAACGCTTATTTTGTTGATTTGTCTTTTCCCCATTTGGCAGGGAGCAGAGCATCGTCGTCCAGGTGGTCGCCAAACTGAAAGGCTTCTCAGTGGCCCGCGAAGTGTGCGGCAGCACCACGCACGTGCTGGCCGGGCAGGCGCTGCGCACCCTCAACGTGCTGCTGGGCCTGGCGAGAGGCTGCTGGATCCTGTCCTACGAGTGGGTAAGCCTGGGCGGGGCGGGTCACTCCACCCACGTCCTCCGGGGTTCGCATGCCTTCCCGTGGGCGGCGAGAGTCCGCCGCAGTCTCCCCGGCCATCGCCTGCTGCCACCGCGGACCCGTGGGAGCGGGGCGCCGTGGGGACCCCTCAGCCACCGGGAGAAATCCAGTTAGAACGGACTTGGAGGGAAAGGCTCATGTGTGTTCCCACAGTCACACGCACTTTGTGTCTGACCGAGAAATAATGTGACCTGTGTCAGTGACGGTTTCAAAAAGCCCCAAAAATTCGGTGACTGTTTGTACAGATGGATTTACTTAGGATGGATTTTAATCCCATTTGGACATATTTTATCTTATGCATATCTATCTGTAACATTACTTGCCCTCATTTCTGTGAATTAAAGGTAGTTTGTTTTCTTTAAATCATTGTTTTTATTATTCATAGAAATTGAAATTGTTACTGTTTCTATTTTTATTTGCCCCCCCAAGCCCTGCAGCCTGGTGAGAGGGAGTTGTTGTTAACTATTTTGCATCTGCAGAGTACCCACCCTCCTCCCTCCTCCTGCTAAGAATGTATCATATTAATGCCGTGTTAATTTAAACCAGTAGAATTATTCCACACTAACAAACTACAGATGCATTTTCTGTGATTTAACCCTGCTGCTCCCTGGTCCAGGAAGTGTGAGACATTAGTGCTCACAGGCACCAAGTGGGAAAGGCTGAAACTGCCCCGAGTGTTCTGTTTGCAGCAGTGGCGACTGGAGATTCCCTTACCTAATTAGACGTTAGGACTGACCCACGCGGCCTGGCACGGGGCAGCGTGTGCAAGTCCAGCTTCCGCAAACGAACACCCTGTGTTCTTTCTCTCCGGTTCACAGTGTGTCTTCGTCAGTCAGCCGTTCCTTCCCTCATTTCCCTGAGGAGAAAATGTTCTTTATCCTCCTTGGAGATACCATCTGTACTTGACTCTGTGCCCACCCTGTCCTCCTGGGGCCCCGAGCCGGCTGGAGGGGTCAGGCACGAGGGGCAGCATTGGTGCCGGCGCCTCCGCGTTCTGCTCTGGGTGCCACCAGGCCCCGCCCGCTGACGCCAAGTGGAGGGGGAGCCAGGTGCCAGTTTAGGTTCCACGTGGGGTGAGTCGTGCCGCGCGAGAGTGGAGGAAAGTGAAGCGGGTCCCTTAGCAAACTTCCAGTGCTCAGAGACCTCCGCCCGGAGCGAGGAGCCCGGCTCACCCAGTGTCACGCGTGAGTGAGTGGCGTGTGAGTGCAGTAGGGACAGAAAAGGGTGCCTGAGGCCTTCAGGTGAGAGGGAGGAGCAAAGTTGTGCTCACAGACAGGTGGTCGCCCCTGTGGGCGGCGGCAGGAACCTGCCGAGGGGGCTCTTAGAGCTAATAAGTGAGTTCAGCAGCTTGTCTGCGATAATGTCAGGTCCACGGTAAAGTATTTACATATAAGTCTGACCTGGTAGTGTGTGCAGAATCTGTGTTGAAAATCATAAAACATTGATTTTAATAACAGAATTGAACGGGGGTCACCCTGCGTCCACGAATCAGAAGGCGCTGTAGTTAAAGCGTCACTGCTCAGAATAGTCCGTGGGTGGAACACATGCCCAGTCACAGTCCCGGGGGGACGCCTTCAGAGATGCAGACAAGCTGACTCTGAAACGTGCATCGAGGGGAGCAGTGACCAGCCCGGCTGAAGCGCCTCTGGAGAGAAGAACGGAGTCGGAGCACCAGCACTGCCTGCTGCGAGGGCATCCTTCCCAAGGCAGCGTGGCGCGGGCACTGGACGGGCCTCACGGACCAGGACGGAGGGGCTGGGGGGAGACCCACGCCTGAGGCCGCCGGCTTCCACAGACAGTGCTGGGCCCAGAGGTCCCAGCCTGAGAGGTGACACCTCGGGGAAGCAGGCACAGTCCTCGGTGCGGCAGAGGAGCATCTCCAGCGCCGGAAGCAGGCCGGGTCAGAAAAGCAGCCCCGGCCGCCGCCGACTTCTCCTCCATCCGGTATTACGGGAGCCCCAGAGAGGCCTCTGCAGACTTAGAATGAGAAAACGTCCCAAACAAAGACGGACCCAGACGTGTTCGAATGCTGGGAAGCGCAGTTGGCAGAGAAGCACCTCCACGACGCCCAACAGCACGGGTGGTGAGACGGCAGCTTCGGGACACACACCGCACCCCCGGTGGTCGGCTGCGCTCCGAGCAGAGTGGTGGTCCCGCTGAGGGCATCAGCCTCTGGGCACTGCTGACACCTGGCTGTGGCGGGCGGAGGGCGGTGCAGCCACTCTGCACAGCAGTGTGCGAATTTCACGGGAAGTCAGATGTGCACACGCCCGCTCCTAGGCGAGTGGCCGGAGAGAAACGCCGGCCTGTGCTCACCCCCAGGCCTGTGCCTGGGGCCAACACCTGCCCTCAGTGGGCGGCCGCACAGGCAAGCTGGTCCCCCCACACAGCGAGTCACTGCTCGGTCTCGGGAAGCAGTGGCCATGCCTGCCACCAGTGTGCCCCAGGCTGAGGGCTTTCCATCGGTGCGACTTCCGTGAGGATGAGCTCTCCAGGCTTAGAAAGACTCGGGAGGAAGACAGCCCTGCAGAGACGGAGCTCGGGTGGATGCGTCCGCAAGCCAGGGAGTGCTCAGGACCCCGCCTCCGGAAGTGGCAGAAGGAACCAGCCGCTGGCCCCTGGGTGCGGGACGGCCAGTGCGCAGAACTGGCTGTCGGCTGTAAGCAAGAAGAAGAAAGGTGGTCGAGGAATGGAGCGCGTTTGGGAAAAACTGAAGGAGAATGCTCACAGGAAGCATGAGACCCAGTGTCCTGGGTCTCCAGCCACTGGAAACCGTTTCCCCTGCTGCAAGGTCACTGGGTGATGCGGGCGGGGAGCCGGTCCCGGACCCTGGGGCAGGGGCTGTGCGGACCTGCGAGGAGGTCAGTGCGCCCGGCTGACACTCAAGGCATCCCCAGGATTAACACCAGCGTGGCTGCACACCAGGCCTGTGGTCACCGAACCCAGGCGACACATTTTCTATACAGTAGAGTAATTTTTCCTAATTCATCTAATAAAGGCTTGAGCCCCTTATTCCTTTTTTCTTTTTCTGTTACAGTTCAGGCACGATATTATTTTACATTAGTTTCAGGTGCACTTTACAGAGTGTCCTGGGGACACTTCCAGCTGCCACCTGGCACCGCCCTTAGTTACCTCGCCAGTGTTGACCGCCCTCCCTGTGCTGGACTCCACATCCCCCGAGGTTCTGTGTCACTGCCAGTCATTGCCTCTCAGCCCCGCCCCTCAGGGCTCGTCAGCCTCTGGTGTGTCTGTGTGCTTTGTTCTGTAGATCCCACAGATCACTGAGAGCATCTAGTGTTCGTCTTCCTCCGTCGGGCTCATTTGACCCAGCACAGCGGCCTCCGGAACCAGTGGCTCTGAGCAGTGGTACAGCAGGGCCTCAGAAGTGAGCAGTGCTCTCCCCTCACTGTGCCACTAAGCCAGCTGCCGTCCTCCTCGAAGGCGCGACCTCTGCCAGGTTCCTGCGTCCTGTCCGCATCTCACTTGTTCACTTCTTTCTGTGGGGAAGACGAGGTCCACAAAGAGCCTCGGGGACGGAGAGTGGAGTGCAGGGTGGTTCCGATGAAGGGGCTGCACTGGGACACACGCGTGTGCGCCTGCTGGGAGGCCCATGTCTGCACCACGCCGACACGAGGGCGGTTTTGCAGCAGGAGACCCTCAGAGCAACGGGACCCCGCCTCCGGGGTGTGGGCAGTGAGCAAGGCAATGCAGACACAGCAGAGAAGAAAGCCCAGTCCGCAGTGACCTGCGGAGCTGCCCGGCTTTCCCTGCACCAGGGGTCTCACGGGCTGGGTGTTCGCCTCCGCCCTGCACAGCGCCAGGGCAGGCAGCCGAGTGGCCTGGGTGCTGGGGACTTAGCCAGCAGCCACCGTCCCCTTCTCTGTGAGACACGGCCGGTGACCCTCCGTCCCAGGCCTGCTGGCCGTTACGCATGCACAGTGCGCAGGCCCGTGACCGGGAGGAGCGAGAACTGAAAAAGTGTCAGCCTCACACCAGAAACGATAGCGTCCCTGCTTCCCCGCAGAGAGCTGCAGACATCAAGTGCCTCTCGCCGTCACCTCAGCTCTCTACATGGAGGGGCTGCGCTGACCCTGAACTTAAACCCTGGCCCTGGTGTGCTGCTTCTGCTGCTGCACTGTGTTCGTCACCTCCCGTGAGACAGAGGGGGCTGCACGGTCCCCCACCTGGAAGGCAGGAGGTGGCTGGGCACCTGGTGTGGTCTCAGGGGACGCTGCCGGCCGATCGGCGGAGTTCTGACGTGACCTGAAACAGCCCTCGAAGGCCACCGCGGTGCTGATTCTCACGGTCCGCCCTTGTGCACCTCCGCCAGGGCAGGGTCGCTCCGATTCTGAGAGCAGCAGTGTTGGGATTTGTGTGTTTCTGAAAGCGGCTGCAGGCGCTGGCCTTGCCGGTGGTGCCCCCACTCCCGGGAAGCAGGAAGGGCCCAGACACTGTGGCTTCATGTCACCTGCCTGCTGGCCCTGTGATGTCGTGAGACACTGTCATGCTCCACAGCAGGGGCCGCACGTTTGCTGGTGTTTCCGACGTGCCCCCTTAGGGCAGAGAAGCTCAGAAGGGGACCGCACGTCTCCCTGTTGGCCTCAGTCTTACCCAGGACAAGGAGATGGCGTCTTTCACGGTCTCTCTCTAATTTCCTAAAGAAATCCAGTCGGACAAACGTGACGACCTTCTCTGAGACTATTTCTAAAGCCACTGCGGGTAGTCCGTGAGCTCAGACTCCTTCCTGCTCTCACCTGCAGTCACGCCTGGGTCTGGGAACCCCACGGTGCGCATTTACCGCAGGGTCAGGACGTGAGGCATCTGTCCTACATGCTCAGGGGTCCCCTGTCTGCGTGTGAGGAAGGACTCTCCCAGTGGCCTGCTCCCTTCTTCCTTGTTCCAGTGCAATGCGGGGGGTTCTTAAAATGTTCTGTTTGGCTCGC